GCGGGACGCCCTGGGGCCGTCTCGAAGCTCCGAAGGCCGCCTGGGGGGCCCACAGGGTGGGCGGAGGCAGCTCTGCACAAACGGGTCAATACCCTCCGGCGCCCAGAGGCCTGGAGCCCCCTTGAAAATATAACGTGCGCTTGCTTCTGGAGGGTCTCTTGGGAACCCCAGGGAGGCTCTCTTCGGACGTTTCTGGGACTTATTGAGCCATGATGGGGGCACCGAGAGCTCGAAGACAGTCCAAGATCGCGTCAGGACGGTCGTTCATCACCTCTCCTCTCTGGAAGCTTCGGGATCGCCATGAGTGCCTCAGGGCGTCTGGGCAGGGGGCTCGTGGGGGCCCCTTGGGGGCCACCTCTTGAGGCCGTCCTGGGGCATTCGTTGGATGTCTTGGGGGCCTTTTGGGCCTTCTTGGGGCTCTCTTAAGCCCTCTTAAGCACCTGTAGGGAGCCCTGGGCCGTCTTGAGGCGATCTTGAAGGCCTTGCGGCAGTCTTGGATGCTCTGAAAACTCCAGAGACCAACATTCTAACAATTCACGTTTTCCGGAAGGAATGGGGCAATTTGTGCCGCTTGAGGCCCTCTTGGGAATCCTCTCGGGGCGTTTTGGGGGCCTCCTGAGCCGTCTTGAAGCCGTCTTGGGCGTCTTGAAACGACTAGTTAGACGTATTTGGGAGGGCCAAGAGCCGCCCAAGGAAGGGGCCATACATATATATATATATATATATACACACATTATATATTATACTATGTTATAATACATTACAATACATTACATTACATTACATTATATGATAGTTTATTATATGTTAGTGTATTGTACTGTATTGTTGTGTACTGTATTGTATCATATTATATTATATTATATTATATTATATTATATTATATTATATTATATTATATTATATTATATTATAATGTATTATTTCATAGTATATTATATTTTATTACATTATAATATATTATATTATATTATATTGTATTGTATTACATTAAATTAAATTATATTTTACTGTGTTATATTATATTATATTATAGTATATTATAGTATGTTGTGTTATGTTATGGTATACTTTAATATAACATCATAAATTATATTATAGTATGTTGTATTATAGTATACTATATTATTTTATAGTATATCAAATATATTATGTATATATATATATATATATTCATACACACATCTGTGTGTATATATACGTGTGTGTGCGTTTGTGTGTACCATCGCGTGGCTGCCACAAACCAGGTACCACTGGGGTACGTTGTCAGACGCCCCTCCTCTTCCCCCTCTTCGTCCTCCTGATCTTCCTCCACTTCCTCGTGCTCCTCGTCCTCCTCCTCCCCCTCCTCTTCGTCTTCCTCCTCCTCCTCCTCCTCTTCCTCCCCCTCCTCCTCCTCCTCCCCCCCCGCCTCCTCCTCCTCCTGGCGCGTCGCTGAGGCGCGCCGCAATCCGTTAGCCCACGCCCGCGCTTGCTACGCGGAGCCTCGCCAATGCGGATCGAACTGCTGGCTGAACTTCAAAGATTTCGCAGCCAGCGAGGGGCAAAGTCGGATCTGAGTGACCAACGCGAGAGGCGGTGGCGGCGTTGAACAGAAGAAGGCCAGCGGCAGCAGGCTCGAAGTCGGCGCGACAGGGCGAGCACAGGCCAAGGCAAGCGATGGGAGAATCAAGAAACGGCAGCGGCTGGATGATAAGAGCGGGACTGTAAAGGAAAACGAGGCAGCAAACCCAGTAGTGCAGGAAGGTGTCGGGGCCGCCACATCCCATCATGCAACCACTTTGGGTGTCTTCGTGCATTCGCGCGGAAGTCAACCGCGCGCCTGCGATGGTCTTGAGATCTGCTGAGCTGAAACCTAACGGGAGGGCGGCCAAGCTAGCCTTTACCTGGGTCCAATTGCCGGCATGGATCTCTTCCCGACGCTCGGGGAACCTGCCCAGGAGACGAGGGGGAACATCGAAGGGAGGGGATCAGGAAAGAGGACGCTCCGCAGGGAAGCGGATATCACCCTTTGGACCTTAGGCTCGGGCAACTTCCGCTCTGAATTCGTTGGGACAGGTGCGTTGAGACAATCGATGGCAAACAGGAGCGCAGCGGAACCTGCGGCAGCCCAGGATTTGCGACGTTCAAAACCGGCAGCGGCTTGCGACAAATTTTGAACTAGAGGCGGGGGGCTCCACCAGGACGGACTGAGCTTTCCTTCGCCGACCTCCTGCAGAGACAGGTGGTCGAGCGCAGTCTCCTTGAGAAACTGAAAGAGCGGCTCCCAGTCGGGTAGGGTAACCGGGGCGGTGCGCATTAAAGAAGCAAGAGATAACACTAGGATGCTGTTGACAGGAGAGCCGCCCCAGGACGACAGGGCGAACCATCCCGCCCTCGAGAAAGCGCAGTGAGAGGAACGCGGGAGAGAGAGATGCGAAAAGAGCGTGCTCCGACCGAGTCAACCGAGCGAGGTCCGACGAGGGGGGGGGGGGGGGGGAATTGTGCCACGTATCCAAGCGTTGGGACAGCACGCTTGTTGTATAGGTATCGTGTAACCGCCGTAGGAGGCCTGGCGCGGGCGATCGCGCAGCCTCTCGAGAACCATTTCCGAATGGCCCTGGCCCAGCCTTCATTTTCGGCCCCTGGGCCAAGGGCCCAACCGAGGTGCGACAAAAACGGCGCAACCTGAAACGCGGCCCACTCGGGGGGCTGCTCCAGCCGCCATTGTTTCACGGAGTCAGCGAGCTCTCTGGAGAACTCTCCACCGAGGGGGGGATGAAACATTTCGACCGCTTGAGAGTGAGACCAGCGAGACGCTTGCTTAGGTCAAAGGGGCGCTTCAGAACTCGGAGGTTGGCCAACTGTCGTAGAGCGGCTCCCGCGTCGTCGGCCCATGCTCGCGCGACCCCCTGCTCTTGACTCCGAAGGCTCTGCTCGCTCCCAGTCGAGTCCACCCCGGGATCCCTTCTCGCTGGGCGAAGAGAGGCGTCGATGTCGGAGAGGAACGGGTTCGAAGCGATGGCGTAGATCATCCCAGAGGCAGGGAAACCCTGAATGATGCCGCTCTCGATCATGAATGCGAAGCGGAGCACGTTGTCGCCGCGCGCGAAGCAGCACGCAGAGCGATGCAGACACTGGAGGAAGAAGAGCAGCGGCGGCGGGATGCGTGACCGACGAAGGCATATCAGCAACCATTGATGAGCGATCGAATGGAAGGCCTGGCCGTAATCGAAACTGACAAGAACTGGCTTGTGTAGGATGGCTACATTGGGATCGGAGACCTGTATGCCGCATGCCCAAGAGTATGTATCTAGCTCGAGTATATTCGCCCCGAAGTTCGGCCAACCAACGAATCCGCGCTGAATCGGGAGAATGAACGAGTCCATGGATTTGCTGAGTTCACGGCGCGTAATTCCGGTGATGATTTTATTGGAGGCATATTTGAGCCCGAGGGGGCGTGTTTGACTTGGGTCTCGGTGAATTACGATCTCGTCGGAGGCCTCGGAGCCCTTGGGGGTGAACACCTTGCGGAGGTCACTGAAATCATAATGCGCCCCTCAAGGGTGCCCTTGCCGCGCGGCGAACGGGGGCCCATCGGGCCCAGGGGCTGAATGCTCGAGGCCCTGAGTGTACTTCTTCAAAGAGCAGAGAGAGAGAGAGAGAGAGAGAGAGAGAGAGAGAGAGAGAGAGAGAGGGAAGAGCGATGTTCAGAAAGTCGGAGGAGACGACGGACCGCCCGAGGTGTTTCTGGGCACCCGTGGAGTCGATCTGCTTTTTGGAGAAGACTGAGGACCCGTGTTGGGGCAAGACCTGCATCACTTTGCCTGGCTCCGTGCAGACACCGCCCCCGATTCGAACCCCGCGAAGTGAAACTCTCTTGTCGGACGGGCTCCACAAACGAATCCGCTGTGCCACAGCGCGGAGGCGGCGTTTGAGCTTCCGCGCCTGGCTCGCTGAGTGCGCCCGGGACAGGCTGGCCCCGATCTCAGCCTGCTCGCGCTCAGAGATGCCCCCGTGGAGATCCGAAGGCGCCTGCGATAATTCAAACGTGCAGGAGGGACACCCTGTTCTCTGAGATGTCAACGGCAAGTAGTGCCGCGCCAAGAAGTGAGATCCTCTGAGTCGTTCTGCCGAACTCATAACCTGCCTCCAAACCGCTCTGCAGATGCTCTTGACGATCAAAAGCTTTGTGTTTAAAGACTCAGGGCGCTTCGCGATCATGGCGTTCCTAGCAACTACAGCCGCCTCCTTCATGATCCCCGTCTGGTATTGTAGAAGAAGCGGAGGGGAAAGTTGACTGGTGTCGCCCAGGGGCCCGACCTTTTCCAAGTACGCGGTGTATTCAGGCTGCTGAACCAAAAAAACCATGTCTCGGGATAGGGCGTTCACCAGACGGGCTAGGAGGACTGCCCGCGAGACCGGCCACGAGCGGCGCGTGGTCCCAGAGGTGCTGGGCGTGGATAATCTCTGGGAACTTACTGACCTGGACGCTAGTAAATAGCTGGCTGCAGACCCACCCTGGGAAACTCACGAAGATGCGATCTATAGTGTTCAGGACTCCCAAATCTCGGTTATAGTGCGCGGGGTCGGGGGTTCGATTTCCGTCATCGTGCTGAAAACTGGGCTCGAAATCGCATCCCTGGAGGCTCTCCAATCTCTGAGGGTGTCCAGCGGGTTGATAGAGGGGTCTGCGTCCAGCACTCGCGGGGCCAAGTCGGCCAGATTCAAATCTCCAGCAACGACCGCAAGCCAAGTCGTATGAGCGGCGGAGGCGGCAGCGAGACGGTCCCGAATAGCCTGAGCGATGAAACGTCGTTCGCCCACTGAGAGCCCATGGAGGTGAAGGTTGAAGTGCGAGATCAGACATCCTCAGAGAACATGATGAACGAAGTTTCAAAACTCGCCCTGGAACCAAAACACGCTTTCGAACTTTTGGGAAGTTTCTCGAAGTTGGGGCGCAGGGTGACGACTCCCCAAGTTCGGGTGCCCGGGCAGGAAAAGGAGGCGAAGGAGAAGGCCGAGTTAGAGAAGTAGGCGAAGCCCCGCAGCTCAGACAGCGTGCCGCGGGTCTCCTGGAGCGAGATGATCGATCCAGTGCGCCGCAGGGGGCGGACGAGCGCGAGCTTCTCGGAGCGGGCGCCAGCCTCGAAATGGGCGCCCGCGCGCTCCACGAGGCCAGCGGGGGGGGCGTCGGGGCGCCCAGGTGATCGGTCCACTGCGCGAGCAGCAGGCTAAACGCTCCACGTAGTCGCACCGGCCGACTTGTAGCCTGCCATGACGCCGTCGAGGATGGTGGCCTGGTCGGTTCCCAAGGCGGTGAGGTTCGCGAGGCAGAAGGTGAGCTTGGGCGGGGCCCCCCCCGCCTGCGGCTCCACGTGGGCGAGAGGTTTCCACTGGCGCGAAACCTCGCCCTTGTCCTTGTCACTGTAGAAGCGGAGGTCGCTGTAATGAAATTCGAGTTCGCGGCAAGCGCGTTTGAGTTCGAGCTCCCGCTTGACCTGGGCCACGTTCTTGTCCCCAGAAATGACGATCTCCTGCGTGCTGCTGTCAGGGGCCTGGCACTGGAACCGCTCCCATGATTGGTCGTGGCGGCGGAGAGCTCCGAGGGCCAGCTGCGCCTTGCGGGATGCGTGCGGGACCGATCCGTTGACGCGAAGCACGTACTTGTTGGCAACAGGCTCGCCCTCCACGGTGAAGTCATTGTCTCCGAGCTGGGCACGTCCGAGCCAAACAGAAAGCGCAGCGAGGGCACCAGCCTCGGCACAGGACAGCTTGGTGCGGACCAGCAGGATGGTCGGGTCAGTGTTGCGGTTGAAACCAGGAGCAGCGGCAGGAGGAACAGGGCGAGCATATTTAATGCCATCGATCGTCGCATGAAGTGAGCGGATCTGGCCTTCGAGCGCGTCGATGCGGGGCTCCTGGGAAGACTGGCGGTTCTCCACGCTGTTGATCCGAACCTCGAGCCGATTCTCAATGTAGTCCCATCCCGTCGTGAAAGTGTTCGAGAGCGTGGCCACCGAGGACTGAACACTAGCCAGCGCGGCCAGCATGTTCTTCTTGGTGAGGTCGACGTACTCCCCGATGATGGCGGCCTCGTCAGCCGACACGTGGGCTGCCACGCGTTGGCGCGCAGCGTCCTCAGCAGCGGCGACTTCAGCGGCTTCTTGTGTGGGGAAGGTGGGCGCCATCTCCCAATCCTGCGCGAATCCATCAGTCAGGGTCGCAGGGGCCGCAGCGCTCATCGCGGGGCCAGCGAGGCTGGCAGTGTGTGAAAACGAATGTAAAAGTGCTCTCGGCCTCCGACCGAGACGGTGTCGCCCTCCTGCGGGCAGCTTGGGCCCTAACCGAGTACACCCTCCAACGACCGACAAGAGGGTGGTTTCGGGCAACGGCTTGAGCCAAAATGGCTACGGACCTCCTCCTCCTCCTCCTCCTGCTCCTGCTCCTCCTCCTCCTCCTCCTGCTCGCCCTCCTGGGGCCCTCTCCGACCATGTAGGAATCCTCTTGTGGTCCCCTCGGGCTTCATGGGGGCTCTCTTGGGCCGTCTTGTAGCTCTTCTGTGCCGCTTGAAGCTCTCTTCAGCCCATCTTGGTAACCTCTTGGGCCGTCGCGACCGCTGGTAGAACTGAAAAGCGAAGCTCCCAGAAATATGCGTTTTTCCATAGGAAATGCTTGATTCTTGCGTTTGGAGGGCCTTCTCAGCGGCCTCTTGGACAGTCGTGGGGGGTCCTTTGGGGCCTTTTGTGGCCCGTCTGGGAACCCATTTCGGCTGTCCCAAGCCCCTCTTGGCATGTTATGGGTAGCTGAGCCGTCTTAGGGCCCTCATGGAGCCCTGACCGACCATGTAGGGATTCTCTGGTGGCTCCCTCGGGCCCCCTGTGGACCGTCTCCTCGGGCTGTTTTGGAGCTCTCTTGTGCTGCTCGACGCTCTCTTGAGGCTGTCTTGGAGCCCTCGTGGGGGCCTCGTGGACCGTGTGGCGCCGATTTGGGGAGCCTTTGGGGCCGACGTGGCCGCCGATGGAACATCAGAAGCGAACATCATAGACATCTACGTTTTTCCATAGGAAATGCTCGTTCTTTGCACCTTGGAACCCTCTCAGCGGCCTCCTGGACCGTCTTCAATGACTCCTGGTAAGCCTCTTTTGGGAGCCTCTGGGGGCCCAATTCGACCGGTCTGGGTCCCTCTTCGCCTGTCATGGGGAGCTCAGCCCGTCTTGGGGCCCTCTGGGGGCCCTCTTCGACCATGTAGGGATTCTCCGGTGGCCCCCTCGGGGTTCCTGGGTACTCTCTTGGGCCGTGTTGGAGCTCTCCTGTGCGGCTTGAAGCTCTCTTCAGGCCGTCTGGTGGCCCTCTTGCGGGCCTCTTGGGCCGTCTGGGGTGATTTTGGAGCCTCTGGGGCTGTCGCGGCCGCTGGTAGGACTGAGAAGCAAATATCTAGGAAGTATATGCTCTCCCATAAGAAATGTTTGATTTTTGCCCTTGGAGGGCCTTCTCGGTGGCCTCTTGGGACGTCTTGAGTGCCTTTGTCGCCGTCTAGGAGGAGTCTTGGGCTGTCTTCGAGCGCTCGTGGCCCGTAGCCATCTCAGTGCGCTCTTCAGCCACCTTCCAGACAACCTGGGGGGCTTTGGGCGCCTCTTGGGACAGCTCGGGAGCCTCTGGGGGGGTCCGGGGCCCCTTCTGAACCCTCTTGGAGCCCTCTAGGCTCCCCCGGCCCCCCATGCGAACCAAAGGTCGCAGTTCTGGGCCCCCCCTGGCCTACTCCGATGTATATATATATATAGACATATACAAATATGTGTATATATATATATATATATATATATATGTGTGTGTGCGTGTGCGTGTGCGTGTGCGTGTGCGTGTGCGTGTGCGTGTGCGTGTGCGTGTGCGTGTGCGTGTGCGTGTGCGTGTGCGTGTGCGTGTGCGTGTGCGTGTGCGTGTGCGTGTGCGTGTGCGTGTGCGTGTGCGTGTGCGTGTGCGTGTGCGTGTGCGTGTGCGTGTGCGTGTGCGTGTGCGTGTGCGTGTGCGTGTGCGTGTGCGTGTGCGTGTGCGTGTGCGTGTGCGTGTGCGTGTGCGTGTGTGTGTGTGTGTGTTAAAACCTGCCGCGGGAAATCTCTTCACCCCAACACCACATCCGCAACCTTCTGCCTCCCTCCTCGGGATTGCATTCTACATGCGTGCATACATGGATACATATGCACATGTGCAAATACATACTTGCATGCGTGCGTGCGTACATACAAACAAATAAATAAATCTCTGCGGATACAAGCGAAGCGCAAGCTCACTTAAGTAGCTCTCATTTGGCGAACCCCAGCCATACCGCAAGGACTTGCCTTTTTGAGCCCCTCCTTGCGCGGAATAGAATTCAAAAACATGTGCGCGTGGCTCCGCTGAGCCAAACTACTCACCATGAACAGTCTGCAGCCGGGGATCACGAACGGCAGAGCGAAGGGGGTGGGAAGGGAACAACAAAAAGAGGAGGAGGAGGAGGGGGAAGGAGGGAGAAGGGACCGATAGTTAGGCCGCGCAGAACTGGTGCTAGTAGTGGCGCTGGTGAGAATGCTGGTGCCCGTGCGCTTGGCCGAGGCACTGCTGATGCCGATGCCGCTGTGGCACGGCGCAACTCCGCTGCGCCGGCAGCGCTGCGGCACGACCTCCCGCCTCCGCAACATCCGACGCGCTGGCGCCACAGCTTGTGAAGGGCTGCTCGATCAAGGTCGTGGACTCGCCCCGTCCTCCTCCTCGATCTCCTCCTCCTCCTCCTCCTCCTCGTCCTCCTCCTCCTCCTTCTATGCCTCATCCTCATCCGCCGCCTCCTAACGATTTTCAGAGTTTGTTCGAGCTGCAGGGCAGCTGACGCACTGGCGCCATAGCTTGTGAAGGGCTGCTCGATCAAGGTCGCGGACTCGGTGCCTCCCCGTCTGTGGCGGCGCTGCTTCCTGCGAAGATCAACGCACGCGCACTGCTGAGGCGGCCACTCCGCTAACTGGTAGCCCAGGCCGCTTTGCTCCGCGCCGTCAGTGCCTTGCTGCCCAGCGGCATCCAGAGCAACCGCAGCGGCCCAACCACTCCCAAAATACAGAAGCGAAAAGACGAGGATCATGCAAAATCCGCCGACCCTGTCGGTGCGTGGAAGAGGCTGTCGAGTCTCAACAACGTTTTAGCTGAATCGAAGGGAAACCCCTTCCCTTTGATCCTTCCCCGCCGGGGGGGGGTCCCGAAAGTGGGGTCCCCAGGGGGGTCCCGGGGCAGATGCGACTCCCCCTCAAGCGGTTTGGCGGCCAATAACAGCAGCAGGACGCAGCAAAGTGCTCCAGGATGTCCCCAAGACGATCTTCGATGGCCGCGAGTCGCCGAAGTATTGGTCCAACTCGCCAAAATAACCTCCGAACTGCTCAAAGGGTGTCCAAAACGCCCCAAGAAGCGTCCAAGAGAACTTCCAGGACGGCCCCAAGGGGCAAATTAGCCTGACGAAAGACCCAACCATATGCGACTGCGAGTACCACGTTGTGGATACCAATTTCGGTGACGAAACGTGTGAGGGTGTGCCGAATTGGGTGGCGGGGGCGCGTGCAACCTCGGCCTTGTGCGCCTTCGGTGCAGCTCCCTATGGGGCCACGAAACGTGTGAGGGGTGTGCCGAGGCCTTCTGGGCCTTCGGTGGAGCTTCCTCTGGGGCCACGAAACGTGTGAGGGGTGTGCTGAATTGTTTGGCGGGGACGCGTGCAACCTCGGCCTTTTGGGCCTTCGGTGCAGCTCCCTCTGGGGCCACGAAGCGTGCGAGGGGTGTGCCGACTGGGGTGGCGGGGACGCATGCAAGCTCGGCCATTTTGGGCCTTCGGTGCAGCTCCCTCCGGGACCACGAAACGTGTGAGTGGTGTGATCGGGCGTCGGGGACGCATGCAAGCTCAGCCTTTTGGGCCTTCGGTGGGGCTCCCTCTGGGGCCACGAAACGTGTGAGAGGTGTGCTGAGTTGGGTGGCGGGGGCGCATGCAACCTCGGCCATTTTGGGGTTTTCGGAAGGGCTCCCTCTGGGGCACGAAACGTTTGAGGGGCGTGCCGGGTTGGGTGGCGGGGACGCATGCAACCTCGGCCTTTTGGGCCTTCGGTGGAACTCCCTTTGGGGCCACGAAACGTGTGAGAGGTGTGCCGGATTTTGTGGTGGGGACGCATGCAACCTCGGCCATTTGGGCATTCGGTGGAGCTCCCTCTGGGGCCACGAAACGTGTGAAGGGTGTGCCGGGTTGGGTGGCGGGGACGCATGCAACCTCGGCCTTGTGGGCCTTCGGTGGAGCTCCCTCTGGGGCCACGAAACGTGTGAGGAGTGTGCCGAATTGTGTCGGGGACGCATGTGACCTCAGCCTTTCGGGCCTTCCGTGGAACTCCCTCTGGGGCCACGAAACGTGTGAGGGGTGTGCCGACTTGTGTGGCGGGGACGCGTGCAACCTCAGCCTTTTGGGCATTCGGTGGGGCTCCCTCTGGGGCCACGAAACGTGTGAGGGATGTGCCGACTTGGGTGGCGGGGACGCATGCAACCTCGGCCTTGTGGGCCTTCGGTGGAGCTCCCTCTGGGGCCACGAAACGTGTGAGGGGTGTGCCGACTTGGGTGGCGGGGACGGATGCAACCTCTGGCCTTTGGGCCTTCGGTCGGTTTTTCTCTGGGGCCACGAAACGTGTGAGGGATGTGCCGGCTTGGGTGGCGGGGACGCATGCAACCTTTGCCTTTTGGGCCTTCGGTGGAACTCCCTCTGGGGTCACGAAACGTGTGAAGGGTGTGCTGAATTGGCTGGCGGGGACGCATGCAACCTCGGCCATTTTTGGGTTTTCGGAAGGGCTCCCTCCGGGGTCACGAAACGTTTGAGGGGTGTGCCGGGTTGGGTGGCGGGGACGCATGCAACCTTTGCCTTTTTGGCCTTCGGTGGAACTCCCTCTGGTGCCACGAAACGTGTGAGGGGTGTGCCGACTTGGGCGGCGGAGACGCATGCAGGCTCTGCTTTTTGGGCCTTCGGTGGGGCTCCCTCCGGGACCACGAAACGTGTGAGGGGTGTGCCGAATTTGGTGGCGGGGACGCATGCAACCTCAGCCTTTTGGGCCTTCGGTGGGGCATCTTCTGGGGCCACGAAACGTGTGAGGAGTGTGCCGAGTTGGGTGGCGGGGACGCATGCAACCTCGGCCTTTTGGGCCTTGGGTGGAGCTCCCTATGGTGCCACGAAGCGTGCGAGGAGTGTGCCGAACTGGGT